ATAGGTTGTCCATGGCATGCAACCAGAAAATGAAGGCAGCAGCATGTCCTACAAACTGTGTAAACAATGGGAATTAGCAGAGTGAACCCAGGAAAGCTGTAGTTTGAAGAGCACAAACATTTTCAATTAATTTATTTAATTCAAACCAGCTCAAAAACTGTGGGCCTCTGTCATGCTTAAAGTGTTCGTTAGACCCCAGGGCATCAGTGGAAAGACTACTACCGGGAAGTCCTTCCCATTTGTTGCTTACTGTCTTTTGGGGGATATAGACCCGAAAATAGAAGGATGATATAAGTACTAGCATTTTATATTTCAAAATTATATATTTTGAAGTCGTTGCAAAAGATTAAATTCATTTCACAATTCTGGGAGAGGCATTGAGGTGCGAGGGGAAGTAAGTTAGAGTCAGCCCCTTCTGTGGTGGTGGTTTTACATGGGGGGTCTTTTTGTGAGGTTGTAAAGTATCTGGACAATGACAGAGGCCAAGTGAGGGACATGGGCTTTGGAAATGTGAAAAGATGAACGGGAAATAACCATTCACAAGCAGCACAGACATACTTGAATAAATGGGAATGCAGTGAAGATACCACAGTATTTCTAACTCGGATGACTGAGAGGGCAAAGGCTCTGTTACCACTCTTTACTCTCCCTGCTTGCTTTGTGGGAGACAGGGTGGTTCCTGATGCTGGGGCGGCTCGTGGACTTTTTCATTTTCTCAGTGTGTAGGAAGTTTGCTTTTGTTTTTGTTTTTCAGTTGAATCAGGGAATTGGAAATGCTTCTGTTTTCAGTGCTAGATTTTTTTTTTTTTAAGATTTTATTTTTGTTTTATTTGACAGAGAGAGAGACAGCGAGAGAGGCAACACAAGCAGGGGGAGTGGGAGAGGGAGAAGCAGGCTTCCTGCCGAGCAGGGAGCCCGATGTGGGGCTCGATCCCAGGACCCTGGGATCATGACCTGAGGCGAAGGCAGTCGCTTGATGACTGAGCCACCCAGGCGCCCCCAGTGTTAGATTTTTAAGCGCTGAGATAAAAATCATTTCTAGTTTCAATGGATTTGGCCAGTAGAATTAAATATAAAAGGAGGCTCTTTCTAAAAAAAAAATCCTAAGAGGATAAAAAGCTTTTCATATTGTGATCGCTACAATGATTTTAACCGGTGTTCTAACAGTGAGGAGGAACATTGAGGGGTCAAAATGTCTTTTATGTGTTGTTTATCAACATGAAGAAAAGGTGGTCATTAAAAGGACAAAAGATGGGGCAGTGGAGTCTGTTTAAAAAAAGGGTGTATTAAGAGAAAAGCAGAATTCTCCTCTATGAAGAGGCAGTGACTTGGTTTTTCTACCTCTCTTCCCAAGTCTCCCTTGCGTCTTTATGTGGAAACAAGAGTCCTATACATTTATAAAGTACAAGGAGATATTTGATTTTGGAATAAGGGCAATATAGAATGTATTTCCCAGTATTAGTGTTAATTATGCATTTGATATGCTCTGGTAGTGTTCTCATTTTACAGTAGTTTCCAAGTGGAATAAGAGCCTACATGCTAGCTACGCATGAAGCTCCAAAGTTCATGTTGCAGAGAGACTTACAGTTTTACTGCTAAAACCAAATGAATCCAAGAAAGTACTCAGTGGGGAGGGTGGGAGGAAGTTTCCAGGCAGGAAGAAAGGAAAAAAGTAGTCATCACAGTATCATCAGATACTTATTACATATCTATAAAAACCTGCAAGTTATATGTTAACTTGTTTCTTATCTGACTTTTCTACTATAATGTAGTCTCCAGGAGGATGAAGATTTTTGTCTCTTTTATTCAGTGCTATGTGCCAAGTAGAAGTTGCTCAATAAATACTTAAATAAGAAATGAATAGGTGGCTCGGGTACCTGGGTGGCTCAGTTGGTTAAGAGTCAGACTCTTGATTTCGGCTCAGGTCATGGTCTTAGAGTCATGAGATTGAGTTCTACATCCGGCTCTGTGCTCAGCGGAGAGTCTGCTTGAGATTCTCTCTCTCGCTCTTCCTCTGTCCCTCCCCTCCATGTTCTCTCTCTCTCTCAAATAAATAAATCTAAAAAAAAAAAAAAAAAAAAAATGAAATGGGGGTGCCTGGCTGGCTCAGTTGGTGGAACATGAGACTTGATCTTGCTTGAGTTGTGAGTTCAAGCCCCATATTGGGTGTGGAGCTTACTTAAAAACAAAAAAAAAATTTTAAAAAGGAATAGATGAATGAATTTTGCATCTGCTTTGGTTATAAGACTCATCAAAAAGATTAGGAGCAATTAACTATAATGCAAGTCACTAACCCTAGGAGTTTATAATTTAATGTGGTTAACGTAGGTGCACATCTCATAATGTTTTACAGGAAAAAAAAAATCAGTGACAAAGCATAGGTAAAGAATAATGCTTTTAATTATATTTTTTTGTCTGTATGATTATGAGGTGTTATATCATTTAAGGCTGTGGAAAAAGACAAATGAGAAAAAATGAACAGTAGAACAGCAGAAGTGACATTGACAGTAGGGGAGTTGGTTGAGTAGGTAAAAGTGTATTTATGGAGGAGTTTCTGTCCATCAGGAAGGGGGTAAAGTGGAGTGAAAGTTTTCTTACATTTTAGCTCACCTTTCGTCAGGGTACTGGCATAAGTAGCAATTGCTTATGTTTTGGGATTCAAATATTTATATGTATAAAAAGTTATTTTGTGAAATGCTTCAAACATACAGAAAAGTAAAGATAAAAATATTACAAGTACATAGATTCTCAACCCCCATACTGAAAGCAAATGTAATGAACACCCAAGTACTTTCCACCCATTTTTAACAAATGTTTTAATTTTACTTGGTTTCACATTTTTAAACAGAAATATAACGTGTTAGAGTTGACAATCTCGTTAACCTTCTCCAAACAAAAGTTTGCTTTCCATGAGATTGCAAAATAAGCCCTTTTATACCAGTGCATGAGTTTAAATGATTCAGTGTGCTTTTTTGCTTTAAAACCATTTTAATGATTAAGAAAATTGTTCAGTAAAGTTTCTCTTTCTTCTTAAAAAGGTTTACAGTATACCCTATTAAATTACAAAAGTTTTTAAGAGTTTAGGAAAGGTTATTTCAATTTCTTTTTTTTTTTTTTAAAGATTTTATTTATTTGAGAGAGAGAGAGAATGAGAGATAGAAAGCACGAGAGGGAAGAGGGTCAGAGGGAGAAGCAGACTCCCTGCTGAGCAGGGAGCCTGATGTGGGACTCGATCCCGGGACTCCAGGATCATGACCTGAGCCGAAGGCAGTCGCTTAACCAACTGAGCCACCCAGGCGCCCCTTCAATTTCTTTTCAAAAGGAAATTGTTTGCAAATAAGGAACATGTTTTTTGCCAGCCTAATACTTCATACTTTTGTACTGTGGAAAACTTTTCTGGTACCTCTGTTCCACATATTTAGTTTTTCACCATTAGACTTCTGTACCTAGAACCTCAGTGCTAAACTGGTAACACTGGTTATTTTGGGTGGAGAAGATTGCATCATATAGAATTTGACGTTCTAAATTACTTTGGAAATATTTAAAATTTTGTATAATCGTATATTATTTTGGAATTGAAAAAGGTAAATGTTAAACTTAGGTATTTTTATTTATTTATTTTTTAATTTAAATTCAGTTAGCCAACATATGGTACATCATTAGTTTTTGATGTAGTGTTCAAGTGCTCGTCCCATCACGTGCCCTCCTTAATGCCCATCACCCAGTTACCCCATCCTCCTACCCCCCTCCCTTTCAACAACCCTCAGTTTGTTTCGCAGAGTCAGGAGTCTCACGGTTTGTCTCCCTCTCTGATTTCTTCCCATTCAGTTTTCCCTGCTTTCCCCTGTCATCCTCTGTGCTATTCCTTGTGGAGTCCTATTCCACATATCATATGGACAATTATCATATGGTTAATTGTCTTTGATTGACTTATGCTAAACATAGGTGCTTTTAAATTATGTTCTAAAATAAGTATCAAATTCAGCATCTCCTTTTTATATTGATGCAATATGAAATGAGCAGATGCACTTACTCCTGTACCTGTGTTTATGTGATGTATATCTCACATCTGTACATATCTCGCCAGTTGAATATGTATCGCTTACTTATACTGCTCTTTCTAGGATATTCATAAAATTATGAGGAAAAAATATATCCTCTGTTAAATCAGCTATTATTTATGATAATTTGAAGAGATGCCATTGTTTTTTTCTTTATTTTCTTAACAGAGAATGTTCTCTTTCTAACCCATTATGGTTAACAATTTTTGTTTTCACTCATTTGATTATGTTGCCTCAGAGGGGAAAGTAATGCTCTGCTAATTTAAGAAATTAGCAATGTGTTAATAATTTGACAGACGTACACTGGGTTGTGTAACTAAAAATTGTATATGAGCCATCAATAGAGAAAATACCTAATGTAAGTAATTTGTAGAATCTAATATGTTATAATTCATCTTTTTATGATACAGTGTTTCCTATTTCTGAGGGTACAAACTTTCAGTAAATCAGGGGCAAAGAATAACAAAATTTTAGGGACGCCTGGGTGGCTCAGTTGGTTAAGTGGCTGCCTTTGGTTCAGGTCATGATCTCGGTGTCCTGAGATCGAGCCCCACTTTGGGCTCCCTGCTCAGCGGGGAGTCCTGCTTCTCCCTCTCCCTCTGCTGCTCCCCCTGCTTGTGCTCTCTCATTCTCCCTCTCTCTCAAATAAATAAATCTTTAAAAAAAAATAACATTAGGAAAAAAATACAACTTTATGTTCATTTTTTTAATTTTCCTTGAAGTATAGAGTGCCTAATTCTCTGAGGTTCATTAATTATATTTCAGTGTAATTAACATTATAATATTTTAATATAAATTAAGTAAAATAATTTGGGATCTATATATTATGTTTCAAATGAGGAGCCACATAGCTTCAAATGGTACCATGCCTTTTTAAAATTATGTTTTTGTGTCTTTACATTGTTACTGTCTCTGACCATTATTTCATATTATTTCTAGATAAAAGAGTGGCTCTGTTTAAACTGTCAGATGAAAAGAGCTCTGGGAGGTGATCTGGCTCCAGTCCCATCATTCCCTCAGCCCAAACCGAAGACTGCCCCTGTTACTCCTGCATCTGCAGTGAGCAAACCATCCCCACAGCCACAGCCGACTTCTCCAAAGAAGGATACTGTACCCAAACAGGCTATCTCAAAGGCCCCCGAGTCTAGGAAGGCCCCACCACTAGTGAAACAACCAACCATTCACGGATCTCCCCCACTGGCAGCCGGGCAGCCTCCTGTGGCCGAGTCCTCCTCCAAGCCTGCCCCTCCCAAAGAGCCTTCGGTCCTGTCTGAGCAGGCCAAGGTCCCCATGGCTGAGGATAAACCAAAGCCGCCCAAGATGGTGAAACCAGCCACAGACATTGTGTCTTCATCGTCGATAGCAGCAAAACCTGATATTCCAAGCTCCAAAGTACAGTCAGAGGATCAAGAGAGAATAGCCCCTCCTCTAAAAACAGACGCTGCCAAACCCTCACAGAGTTTTCCACCAACAGGAGAACAAGTCACCCCCATCGATTCTAAAGTCATACCCCGACCTGCATCGGATTCAAAAATTATTTCACATCCTGGGCCTAGTTCAGAGAGCAAAGGTCAAAAGCAGGTTGATCCAGTTCAAAAGAGGGAAGAACCCAAGAAAGCACAAACCAAAATGAGTCCTAAGCCAGATGCCAAGCCGATGCCAAAGGGGTCACCTCCGCCCCCAGGCCCACGACCTACCACTGGCCAAACTGCCCCCACATCTCAGCAGCCCCCAAAGCCTCAGGAGCAGTCAAGACGCTTCAGTCTGAATCTGGGAAGTATTACTGATGCCCCCAAATCACAGCCCACGACGCCTCAAGAAACTGTGACTGGAAAACTCTTTGGGTTTGGAGCATCAATCTTCAGCCAGGCATCAAATTTAATCTCCACAGCAGGCCAGCCTGGGTCTCAGTCTCAGAGTGGGCCTGGGGCCCCAACAAAACAAGGCCCTCCTCCTCCACAGCCACCTCCTCAGGGGCCACCCAAATCCACAGGTCAGGTGCCACCAGCACCTGCAAAGGTTATCCCTGTGAAAAAAGAAACAAAAGCTCCAGTGGCTGAAAAATTAGAGCCCAAAGCTGAAGAAGTTCCAACCATAAAAAGAACAGAAACAGAAAAGAAGCCTCTGCTTGTTAAGGATAGCAAAGCTTCCGCAGCGGAGCCTCAGAAGGCTGTCCTTCCCCCCAAGTTGGAGAAAACCCCCAAACCAGAATCGACCTGTCCGCTCTGCAAAACTGAACTCAACGTAGGTTCTCAGGATCCTCCTAACTTCAATACTTGCACTGAATGCAAGAATCAAGTGTGTAATCTCTGTGGATTTAACCCTACACCGCACTTGACTGAGGTAAGCAGTTTATATCTTACTTATGGATGTGAGTATATCATGTTTATTCTGAATTATTTTGGCAGCCAAAATGCTGCGCAAAAAAATCCCCCAAAACACACACAAAAAACATTTCTAGTAAAGAAGGCATATCAATATTGATGGCATAGTTCAATTACTTATTACAGGCTTAATTTCTTTTTAAAAGTTCATGTAATTATATTTTTCTGGGTTATGCACCAGAATTAAGAAGATGAAATAAGCTGACAGTTTAAAGTAACAATTATCCCAATCCTTTGTGAATTAAAGACCTGTAGCTTTGGAGTACTGCGTGGTTTTCACTTACTAAGGGCAAGTAGGAGTTGTAATTTACCGCTCCCACGGTCTTCAATCCTTCCTGCCTCCACTACCTTAGAGAAAGTGTTAGTTGCTTACAGATCCATAAATAACATGAGATCTGTTATTTTACAAAAATTGTTAAGAACTTAGTGCAAGTCAATAATATTGCCTGCTAGAAAATAGTGGTTCGGACTTACTAGGTCTAGACTTCTTATAATTGTCTTTGAGCTATTGTCTGCCATAAATATAATAGAATACTTTCATAAGAAATGTGCAAAGAAAACAACAAAAACAGATACATGGGTTTCAGTGACTGATGTCAAGGAACTTTGTTTTAAAAAAACTTTTTTAATGGGATGATGAGACATTTTCCCCACAATGTAAATGACCAAAATGCAGATAGGCAAATTTCTACCTAACAGAGATATTAAAGAATGAATGTAAACGTTACTAATGTGTTAGGGCTGTTAGAATATTTAGATCTTGGGAAACTGAGGGGTTAAATGATTGTTGCTTTCTTAGAGGCTTAATAAACATTTTGGGATTGAATTTTAAATAATTATTCATTGCTTTTACACAAATCAGAAATACTTAAGGATTATTTTATTCCACTCTCTTTGATTTTGTAATTCATTGGAATGGAAAAATTGAACAGATTTTAGCAATTATACAGAAGAAGCTTTAGAGATTCTTGGTGTGTTTTTGATTGAATTTTTTTTTAAAGAATAGACTGTATACATTTTTTATTTTTTACTTTTAAAAGACATTAGGTTGCTTTGACATAATTAGCATCATGTGAAAGTATTGTTTCTACAGACTTAAGCAGATTTTTATCCTCTTTATCTGTGATGAATAGAGTTAGCTGAGATCCATTTTAAAGGCAGATAAAATTTGGTTTCCCTCAGCACATCATGCGGGGTAACCACTATAATTATTACTTACAGTGGTTTGGATTCACTACAGAAGCAAAACAAAAAGCAAACCTTAAATTTCTCCCATATATTTAGAAGAGTTGCTTTTGGTTGTGTATTCATGAAGCAGAAAATTTTGGTTTTACCAATACAATTGTATTTATTTCATAGACTTAAAAAATTGTACCCTTTAATGAGGAGCTGATGGTGTCAACACAGTACAGTTTAAAGAGTTATAAAACAAACTGCATCACTAAAAGCAAAACCTAATGTCTCCATTTAAAATGTATTTTGGGCACACTAAAAAAAAAAGTGTAGAGTTGAGGGAGGATTTTGTGTGTGTGTGTGTGTGTGTGTACCTATGTATATGTATATATTTGGACCATAGTGATTACGAGAATCCACTCAGTGTTTGGAGGTATGAAATGAGAGCCCTTGGGTAGAAAGACAATTAAGTTTTCAGGAAAATCTTTGGTTTTCTTTGTGTTGGTAAAATTTTATTTTTTTGTCGGGGGTGCTAATTTGGAAAGGAGATTTCTTGAATAAAGCACAGAATTTCCTAGGCCATGTGTGAAATTTCAGTAGTTTGAAAATAGAAGTGGTCTCAAGTATTCAGGTGGTTTAGGCGAAATTCTATTTTAAATATGATCACTGGGATCACTGTTACTGTTCAGAGTATTTTGCTGTGTGGTAATTTATTTGAATTTGAAAGATGTTTCAGAGAAGAAGAAAAATTGATGTAACAAAAGAAGTTGGCTAATGTTTCTGGTGTAACTTAACTGTGCTAATCCATGTGAAGTTTTCAGTTAGTAGAAGGCCTTAAGTGCCCTCCAGCCTTTAGGTAAAGTCGTTGGCTGACCTGGTATCAAAGGAGTGAATGATGTTGGTTGAGTGATTTGGTGTTCAAATATTCCTCTTATTATTACCCCAAAGGACTTGGGAGGAGTGGCAGAAGGAGTTAGTTGAAAAGAAAGGCACACTGTGTTTGTATGTGTGTGTGTGCATACATACACAAACATTTCTAGAAAATTTTAAATACGATTTATAGGCTTAACTTGTGCTGCTCTGTCAGAGTTATTACTACTAATCTCTCCTCATTTCCTTCAGTCAGGAGCGATTAGAGAAGCATCTTCTCCCTGATCCTTGCTTTATTTCTGTGCTTTCTCCATTCTGCTTGTGATATTTATCTCTTGTTAACCTCATATTTTCTGCCCTTTCCTTCCAGTTTTAGGGGGCACATTCTGAAAATACTCAGACTTTATACCTGCAATGCAAAGAAGTGGTATTTCTAAGAAAGGAACCAACTATTTCCATTTATTATTCTAATAAAGCACATTTACCTTTATATGATAAGCCTCTGCTTCTACTCGACCTCATCACTGTGAGGCAGGTATTCTTTTCCTGTGGGTACCACTCTGCCTTCCCGTTTTGCTGTTCTGTTCGTCTGGTGGTGAGAAGAGCTGGTTATAGTTAGTCATGGGTTAGGGAGCTGTAGAGAGTACCCCCCCGCCCCCCCAGTAATCAGACACACCTGTCTCTTTGGTGGCTTCCTGTTTCTCATACACAGCATCCCCCACAACACCTGAGCTGTGCCAAGGACTGCCTGTGGGGCCCTGGGGTGTAGCCAGGCTTCAGCCTAAGAAGGTTTAACTGTTTGATGCCAAGTTCGTATAAATGGCACCGTGATCCAGTAGCCTCTGATAGCAAGGAAGAAGTCTCTTAGGCTTTAACTGTTGCCAACTCAGGGAATATCTTATCTTAGAAAGAGTTTTAAAAGCAGCAGCAGGACTTTCTGAAAGAGCTGATCTTAGAGAATTTGGAAGCATCCTGAGAAAAACAGCCTAAGTTGACAATCAGTTTACCTAGTGAATTGAATAATTCTGGTTCAGTTCAAATGCGAAAAGGACTCAAAGTTACTCATAGTGGGTGATGATGTTATTGTTTTTACTGTACCTTTCAAAAGTAATTTTTTACTATGGGAATAAAACTTAAAACCACGTTTCCTCATGTTTCAGGAAGTTCCAGGGTCATAATTTTGCTTCCTTAGTAAGATAATTATGCAGGGCCTGAGTAATACAGGAATAGCTAGCATATATTTGTCACTAGGCAACAGATGGGCCTTTTGAGCCAATTAAGACCCAGTGGTGTAACCGGGATCCCTTCAGATCTTTGCTCTCTAGCTGCGGTGGCTTCTGCCTTCTCTGTCACACACTCAAGGGAAGCCTCGTGGGCATGTGCTGGATTTCTTAGTTTGGCAAACACATATCTTGCTTTTACGTGAAAAATCATTACTTAATACTTTAAAAATCATATGCCCAATACTAAAAAGCAATTAAGTATGCACACACACAGAATTAAAAACCAAAAGAATGATAAAAAATCAGTAAGTAGAAAATAATTCTACCAGTAATTATTTTCAAAAGAATTACGTAATGGAGATATGCATTCTGTGTGAATATTTCTGACATGCATGGCAGAGAGGGACACTGATAGCACTTTTTAGCTTACGTGAGAAAGTTGACAAGTTCATGGGTTGAAACAAAATTTTTGTTTCTTAATTTTTAGGAAATTTTGATGTGTTGCTTTTTTATTTAAGTGATACTTAGTCAGAAAATCCAAATGTGGATTTATTTATTTATTTATTAGTAATTAATTTTTTTATTATGTTGTGTTAATCACCATACATGACGTCATTAGTTTTTGATGTAGTGTTGCATGATTCATTGTTTGCATATAACACCCAGTGCTCCATGCAGAACGTGCCCTCTTAGCCTGGTGATGGGTACCAAATGTGGATTTAAAATAAACTTTTGTTTAAACAAATTTAAACAAAGTAATTTCTCCATTAGTCTTTTCTTCTATGGGTTTTTACATGGTTACTATTCTATTCTCTCTGGTAGTTCTGTATTCCAGTCTTAACATGTGATTATATAATATTTCCTCACATGACTAAAGACTTCGTACATATTATTAAAAGTGATTATTACTTAATTATTTTGATATATGGATAGGTTTTTCCATGCACATTCTTCTCACATTGGGGATTTAGGCTGTTCCATTTTTTTCATTATAAATAAGATGAATATTTTTGGACTAAATATTTTGTATTTTTAACTGTTTCCCAAGGAAAGTTTACTAGTACTCATGTTACTGAATCAAGGAACAAGGACCCTGAAGTATCAGATTCTCTTTGGAGATGTGATAGCATTTGACATCTCCACCGCTGGAGTTTATATTCTGGCCAACTTCTCATACCTGCTGCTATTTCTCTAGAGATGCATTGTCTGATAAGATAGTCTCTGGACAGATGTGGCTAATGAGTACTGTGGCTAACTCAAATTAAGATTATTTTAAGTGCAAAAAAAAAAAAACAACCACATTTGATTTAAAAAACTCTATGAAAACAATGTAAAATATCTCCCTGATAATTTTATGTTGATAACTGTTATGTAAGGCTTTCCATCCTAAATACTGCTATTACTACTACCTTTTGCATGCTCTACTGAGCAGATAGTTCTTAGGGCTCTCATCATCAAGAGACACATCTACTAATGCCTGGTCTGATCTGGCCCAAGGATCAATGTTCTCAGGTGTTGTTAACCATCATTAAGAAATAGCTGTACTATTGAAAAAACAAACAAACAAAAAAGATCTGTACTATTGACTGGCATAATGTGGCCATGCCAGTCTTCAAGTCAGGACATCTTCTTTACTGATCCCTCTGGTTCCAAATGTTTTCTCTCTCACTTCTTTTCAGAACTTTTGTGTCTA